CTGAAGTCAAAGAAAACAGATATCAGGTAAAAAATAAATAAAAAAATAAATAGACGAAACATCAAGCATGGACTTCTCTCTAAAATGTACAACTACAGCAGTGGAATGAAAATAAAATTCTTTTCTTAACAATACTAAATTCTCCAGACTGTGATTTTGATTTTATGAATTAATGCTTGCTTTACTAAAGTAATGAGTGCTCTGAGGTTGTCTGTCATCTTGTCTCCCAGATTAACTCAGTAACTACACTAGAAATTTACTAGAAAAGAGAAAGGCAGTTACCACTTTATTAAACAGAAAAGATTAAAACTAGTAATATTATGTGATGATCCGAGTGACAGATGAAGTGCCATGCTGACAGTGTGACATGTGTCTCTGATAATTCTCTGCCTTTACTGATACTGACAGTAAATATCAGTTAATGCAGAATAATAGTCTTTGCAGTTAGGATTAATACTAAGAAATGGTCACTAATATTAATTATATGCCTTTTTTAGGCAGAGTGGGTCAAATTAACCCAAGTGCCCTTAAAAGAATCTGTCTGGATTTCCTACTCTATTTCTGCAAAATTGCAAGGTCCTGATGATGTGTTAATTGCAACATGAAAAGCCTAGAACTATTATTAAACACCCCCTGTGGTTATTTTGCATCTTTAATTGCTCATTTGCAGTTAAGATGATTTACTTACAGTGGACCCTCGACCAACGATATTAATCTGTTCCAGAGAGCTCATCGTTAGACAAATTTATTATTAGTCGAATTAATTTTCCCCCAAGAAATAATGGAAATCCAATTAATCCATTCCAGACACCCAAAAGTATGATTTTTTTTTTTTCACATGAAATATACATTTTCCTACACAGAAAAAGATCATGCACAATAAATGATGTACTGTACTAAATGAAGAATAAATGACACTTACCTTTATTGAAGATGCAGTGATGAGTGATGAGATGGGAGGAGGGGAGATGATGGAGTTTACAATTGTTTGGAAGGTGAATCCCCTTCCATAAGGACTTTAAGGTAGCAAGTCCTTTTCCGGGGTTACTTCCCTTCTGTGTTTTTTAATGCCACTGGGAACAACTTGAGTCACTGGATCTCTGTCGCACCAAAAATCTGTCCATACAGCTCTGTACCTTGCGTTCCTTTAAGATTTTCCTAAAGTGGTTCACAACATTGTCATTGTAAAAGTCACCAGCATGGCTTGCAATAGCTGTGTCAGGGTGATTTTCCTCCATAAAGGTTTGCACCTTTGTCTACATTGTACACATTTCCTTAATTGTTGAAGAAGGCAACTTCCTCAATTTCTCTCTCCCCTCCTCTGAAGCAATTTCCTCAGTTGTGGCCTCTTGCTGTTGTAGATGCTCTTGCAGCTCATCAGTGGTTAGTTCTTTATCGTCGTCCTCCACCAACTCTACCACATCCTCCCCACTAACCTCCAACCCCATAGACTTCCCCAGTGCCACAATAGATTCCACAGCTGGCATAGGCTCCCAAACCCTTCAAAATCCCTCTCTTGTACACATTCTGGCCACAATTTCCTCCAAGGTTCAAGGTCCTGTTAGTCACTCCCTCCCAAGCCTTACCTATAAGGTTTATGCAAATGAGGATACTAAAGTGATCTTTCCAAAACTCTCTTAGGGTCAATCGAGTGTCTGAGGTCACTGCAAAGCACTTCTGAAACATAGCTTTTGTGTGCAGTTTTTTGAAATCTGAAATGACCTGCTGGTCCATGCACTGGAGGAGAGGAGTGGTATTAGGAGGCAAAAACTTTAATAAAACTCAACTCCCCTGAAATTCACTCTGGCAAGTCTGAAAGATGAGCAGGAGCATTGTCTAATACCAGGAGGTACGTAAGGTCCAATTTATTTTCCAGGAGGTAATTTTTCACAGCGGGGCCAAACACATGGTAAAACCAGTCACAGAAAATGTCCCTAGTGATCCATGCCTTACTGTTTGCCCTCCACATCACACACAAATTAGCCTTGACGACATTGTTATTCCTGAACACTCTGGGAGTTTCAGAGTGATACAAGAGTAGAGGCTTCACTCTGCAAGCCCCACTAGCATTACTACACAACATTAAAATAACCATGTCCTTCATAGGCTTGTGTCCTGGGAGTGCTTTTTCCTCCTGTGTAATGTAGGTTCTGTTTGACATTTTCGTCCAAAACAGGCCAGTTTCATCACAAACACTTGTTGGGGTTGCAATCCTTCAGCATCTATGTACCCCTGGAATTCCTGCACATATTTTTCAGCCGCTTTTTTGTCCGAACTGGCAGCCTCACCATGCCTTATCACACTGTGTATGCCACTACAATTCTTATATCTCTCGAACCAACCTTTGCTGGCCTTAAATTCACTCACATCACCACTAGTTGCAGGCACTTTTTTAATTAAATCGCCATGCAACTACCTTGCTTTTTCACATATGATCGCTTAAGAGATGCTATCTCCTGATACCTGTTTCTCGTTTATCCACACCAATAACAGTTTCTCAACATCGAGTACTTGCGATCTGTGTTTTGAAAACATACTTGCACCTTTCGCAACAACAGCTTCCTTGAATGCCTTTCTGCTGGCCAAGATAGTAGCGATGGTTGATTGGGGTTTGTTATACAACCTGGCCAGCTCAGAGACATGCACTCCAGTTTCATACTTTGTGATGATCTCCTTCATTTCAATTGTAATTCTCACCCTCTTTACCACAGGGTTGGCACTAGAAACTTTCTTGGGGCCCATGGTGGCTTATTTAGCAGTTACAAACACTAAAAACACTGGAATAATACAAAATGTACCAAATGTATGCGTGGATGTGACCGCACTGGCTTGTAAACACTGGCACACTAACTGAAGGCAGGGCAGCTAAAGCGCGCTCAGGCCAGACGGGACACGTGGACGTGTTCAGGATGAATCATGTTGGTCAAGTTTTTCATCATTGGTTGGGCCAAAATTTTTACGCTCAAATGCTTTGTTAGTCAAATTTATCGTTAGACGATACATTCACTGTGTCTTTGGGGAAGTCCATGGGGATGGATGTTAGTGGCAAGGATGTGGAAGAGTTGGAGGAGGACCACAGGGAAGAGCTAACCATTGAAGAGCTGCAACACCTTCAACTGGAACAGCAACAGACCACAGATGAGGAACTTGCTTCAGAGGAGGAGGAAGAGAGAGGGAAGGAGGTGCCTTCTTCAGAGATTAAGGAGATTTGTGCAATGTGGAGTAGGGTGTAGATCAAGTGTTTACATTGAGGTATATATGTGAACAGTATTTACATAAAGGTAGGGAAGTTTTTATTGCATTTATGGATTTGGAAAAGGCATATGATAGGGGAGCAATGTGGCAGATGTTGCAAGTATATGGAATAGGTGGTAAGTTACTAAATGCTGTAAAGAGTTTTTATGAGGATAGTGAGGCTCAGGTAAGGGTGTGTAAAAGAGAGGGAGACTACTTCCCAGTAAAAGTAGGTCTTAGACAAGGATGTGTAATGTCACCATGGTTGTTTAATATATTTACAGATGGGGTTGTAAAAGAAGTAAATGCTAGGGTGTTCGGGAGAGGGGTGAGATTAAATTATGGGAAATCAAATACAAAATGGGAATTGACACAGTTGCTTTTTGCTGATGATACTGTGCTCATGGGAAATTCTGAAGAAAAATTGCAAAGGTTAGTGGATGAGTTTGGGAGTGTGTGTAAAGGTAGAAGGTTGAAAGTGAACATAGAAAAGAGTAAGGTGATGAGGGTATCAAATGATTTAAATAAAGAAAAATTTGATATCAAATTGGGGAGGAGTATGGAAGAAGTGAATGTTTTCAGATACTTGGGAGTTGACATGTCGGCGGATGGATTTATGAAGGATGAGATTAATCATAGAATTGATGAGGGAAAAAAGGTGAGTGGTGTGTTGAGGTATATTTGGAGACAAAAAACGTTATCTATGGAGGCAAAGAAGGGAATGTATAAAAGTATAGCAGTACCAACACTCTTATATGGGTGTGAAGCTTGGGTTGTGAATGCAGCAGTGAGGAGGCCGTGGAGATGTCCTGTCTAAGGGCAATGTGTGGTGTAAATATTATGCAGAAAATTCAGAGTGTGGAAATTAGGAGAAGGTGTGGAGTTAATAAAAGTATTAGTCAGAGGGCTGAAGAGGGGTTGTTGAGGTGGTTTGGTCATTTACAGAGAATGGATCAAAGTAGAATGACATGGAGAGTGTATAAATCTGTAGGGGAAGGAAGGCGGGGTAGGGGTCGTCCTCAAAAAGGTTGGAGGGAGGGGGTAAAGGAGGTTTTGTGGGTGAGGGGCCTGAACTTCCAGCAAGCGTGCGTGAGCGTGTTAGATAGGAGTGTATGGAGACGAATGGTATTTGGGACCTGACGATCTGTTGGAGTGTGAGCAGGGTAATATTTAGTGAAGGGATTCAGGGAAACCGGTTATTTTTATATAACCGGACTTGAGTCCTGGAAATGGAAGTACAATGCCTGCACTCAAAAGGAGGGGTTCGGGATATTGGCAGTTTGGAATATTAAAACTAAGCTGCTGTGTTCCGAGCACCTCTGCAAAAACAGTGATTATGTGTGAGGTGAAAGTGTTGAATGATGATGAAAATATTTTCTTTTTTGGGATTTTCATTCTTTTTTGGGTCACCCTGCCTCGGTGGGAGACGGCTGACTTGTTAAAAAAAAAATACACCACACACACACACAATATATATATATATATATATATATATATATATATATATATATATATATATATATATATATATATATATATATATATATATATATAAAAATGTAGTGTTAGAGTGTTCAGCAGAAGTTTGTGGTTACAGGAAAGTGGGTGCAGGAGGGAAGAGGAGCGATTGGTGGAATGATGATGTAAAGAGAGTAGTAAGGGAGAAAAAGTTAGCATATGAGAAGTTTTTACAAAGTAGAAGTGATGCAAGGAGGGAAGAGTATATGGAGAAAAAGAGAGAGGTTAAGAGAGTGGTGAAGCAATGT